GGGGCAGATGTTGCAGCCCTGTTCTTCCTACAGCATTGCCAGGGAGGAGTGCAACCTTGAACACTATCCTGCGCAAGCCTTGGAGCCACTCCAGCAGTCAACAGCTGAGTCTTTGTGTGAAGCAAGAACAACCGCCCTTGGCTCCTTGAGGTACCAGCCATTGTGTCTTCCCAGGCATGGAAGGAAATGCAACAGTTTAGTAGATGGCTCCATACAAGCTAGATCCACCCATCACCCATCCTTGATGGGTGGATCTAGCTCACGGAATCACTGATCTCAGTTCACTGAATTCTCAGATAATTTTAAGAAGTTTACAAACAAGAATAGTATTTTTTTGGCTTTTGCTACGTGGAAAATTATAGTTAAAGAGACCACATTACACAGTCTAGTTTTATTTCCAGTCATAGTCTCTTTATATACCATCTAGATACATTTTTACATTTATTAGATTTTTTAATCATTATTAAAATAATGTATTAATCTAGAAATTTTGGGAACGACAAAGAGCAGAGAAATATTGGAGGAAAATCCTCCATGTTCCCACTATTCAAAGTTAATGTCATTTTATTTCTTTTTTTAAGATTTTATTTATTTATTTGAGAGAGTGAGAAAGAGGGAGAGCACAAGTGGAGGGAGGGGCAGAGGAAGAGGGAGAAGCAGACTCCCTGCTGAGCGGGGAGCCTGATGCAGGGCTTGATCCCAAGACTCCAGGATCATGACCTGAGCCAAAGGCAGCTGCTTAACCAACTGAGCCACCCAGGTGCCCCTCACATTTTGTTTATCTCTAGTCTTTTTTTTTTTTTAAAGATTTTATTTATTTATTTGAGAGAGAGAGTGAGAGAGAGAGCACAAGAGAGGGGAGTGGGAGAGGGAGAAGCAGACTCCCTACTGAGCAGGTAGCCCGATGCGGGACTCAATCCTGGGACTCCAGGATCATGACCTGAGCTGAAGGCAGTCGCTTAACCAACTGAGCCACCCAGGCGCCCTATCTCTAGTCTTTTTTAATGCACATATTGTTCTCACAGAGTTCTGGTTAGACAATACATACTTGATAAGAGCTCAAATACATAAATACCATTAATGAGCTCTTAAATTGATTATATTTACCTGCAATTTGATGAACAAGATGTCAATTTTTCCCCCTCTGATTATGAATCAAATGTAACTGTAACGAGTGTTCTAAAGAAAAGTAACAGTGCTGTGAACACCTTTAATAGAGGGCTTTACCCTCAACTAATGGGAGCAATTAAAAATAAAATAGGCTGTTTGGACAATCAAAAAAGTTTAAGAGACAACGAAAAGCTAGGACAGGATTGAATAATAAAATTCATCTACACAAAACTTCTACTTCAAGACTGGAAGAAAAGGCTGTCTTATCTAATGCATAGAAACCAACACAGAATGTCAAGCAAAATGAAGAAACAGAGGAATATGTTCCAAACAAAAGAACAAGATAAAAACATCAGAAAAAAATAATTAATGAAGTAGAGATAAATATTTTACCTGATAAAGAACTCCAAATAATGGCCATAAAGATGCTTACTAAATTCAGGAGAACTTCAACAAAGGGACAGAAAATATAGGAAAGTTCCAAGCAGAAAAAATGGAATCAAAGAATACAATAATTAAACTGAAAAATACATTAAAGGGTTTCAGCAGGAGACTAGAAGAAGCAGAAGAAAGGATCAGTGAACTCAAAGACAGAGCAGAGGAACTTACCCATCAGGGCAGCAAAAAGAAAAAAGAACAAAAATAAGTAAAAATAGCTTAAGGGACTTATCGGACAACATCAAACTGACTAACATTTGCCTTATAAGAGTCCCAGAAGAAGAAGAAGAGAGAGAAAAAGAGGCAGAAAACTTATCTGAAGAAACTTCCCTAACCTGGGAAAAGAAACAGATATCCAGATCTGGGAGGCCCACAGAGTTTCAAATAAAACGAATCCAAACACACTATAATTAAAACAAGTTAAAGACAAGAAGAGAATCTTAAAAGTAGCAAGAAAAAAAAAAAAAAAAAAGCTTGTTACATTCAAGGGACTCTCCTTAAGACTCTAAGCAGCTTTTCAGCAGAAACTTTGCAGGCCAGAGGACAGTAGCATGACATATTCAAAGTGCTGAAAGAAAAAAAAAATCTAATCAAAAATACTCCATCCAGTAAAGTTATTCAGAACTGAAGGAGAGAAGAGTTTTCTAGATAAGCAAAAACTAAAGGAGTTCATCACCACTAAACTGGCCTTAAAAGAAAGGTTAAAAGGACTTCTTTAAGCTGAAAAGAAGGGGCATGAATTAGTAACAAGAAAACATATGAAAGTATACATCTCATTGGTAAGGGTAAAAATATATTAAAGGTAGTAGATTAATCATTTATAAAGTCAATAAAAAGTGAAAAGGCAAAAGTCTTAAAGGTCAGGGTGATAACCATTCTCCTCCTCAATTTACTGAAAGGGACTATATCTTGGAGACCATTCCAGTATAATCTTATCAGTCAGGAGGACAGGTCCACCCGGCTTTCCTTTTTGTGCTCTGACTCAAGAGGAGCAGAACACACATTCAGTAAATAATCTCAATCTAGTTTTTCCAGTCAACTTCTCTCTTTACTTCATCTACAAAACGTGGCTATTAGAGATTTATCTACATCACCATTCTGAAGCTGAAAGCCAGATTGCTGTGGAACTCTGAGCAACTGTGAGATAAAGGAATGGCACTATAATTGATTCTCTGGAACCAAACTTAGGTATCATTTATCACTTGTTCTTTCAAAAGTCAAAGAAGTTATATTAGTTGTACAGTACATACAATGTTTTAACATCTGTGAGTATTCAGTAATAGAATATCAACTTTCCTATAAGGATTCCAGGCCTGATGATTACTTTTTCACATCAGAAAGTGTAACTTGTGACAATAATGTGATTTTCATTCTTTTCTTCTGTTACAATATTTTAAAACTCAGTCTGGAATAATTGAAAATGCAACACTCTAATGTACACACACACACACATAACAATGCACTTAGGTAACAGTTAATATGGAGACATCAGTAGCTTTGAAGTCAGTACCTTCTATGGGTAATTTTAACTGGTCCTTAGGCAGGTTCTTATCTCTCCCTTGTAGTTACCCTATTACAAGGTACTGACACTAATAGGGAACAAAGATAGATATAGACAAGGGATTGTATTCTATTGGGTCAAAGCACACAGTAAGTGTACTGTACTTAAGAGTAATGTGAGAAGAAAATAGCAATTCCCGAAGCTCCCTTAAGAATTTAGAACACCAGGTCAAGATTTGAAGCTGACAGCTTCAGTGGGTGTGATATGGGGCCAGGCAATGACCCCACAAGCCCTGTTGGACAAATTAATCCCAAAGGTACCACAGGCAGTAGATGACCCAATTACTGAGAAGAAGGTCAGGTATATAAAAGACAATGATGAGAACAAGCCACAAGGACTCAAATATCAAAACAATTGTGATTGTCAGATTTTGATTATAAGTCAAAATCAGAAACTTCTCAGAGAGAAAAGAATAAAATGCCTTATTGAAAATCAGTGTCCTGATGCTCTTGGGGGTAAGAACAACCCTCCAGGTTTCAAATGAAAGAGGAACCTCCACATTCACTGCTAGCTGGAACTGATATGAAATAGAGAAGGCAGACAAAGATGACCCAGAAAAGGGATGTGCAGACTAAGAGTCTGATGACAAGTATCTTGATTTTGTTGAATTTTTTATTTATTGCCTCTTCTACCTGCTCTTTCCATATTGATTTTCTTTTAAATGGTCTTTGCCCTTTTAAAATTGATCTTAAAAACTGTTCTTTGCCAAATATCTGCACTGCTTCTGATGTTCCATTTAATGACATTTAAAGTATTTATTTTACTTCCCCCCCACCCAAAGGAAATGACTGACTCTGACTTAATTCTATTATAGGAAAAAACTGGAAAAATAAAGAAAACCAAATTTATTTGTTGTCACTAAGCAAAACTGATAAATTTACTCTATAAAATGTTCATGAAGTATATCCCCCCAACTATGACCCAGATGAAGAATGTAAAGAATACTAAAGTAGTAAACACATTCATAGTATATTGGAGTAATTTTAAAAGGACTCATGCCAAACACACAAGAATGCTTGCCTATTTGGAGATGAGAGGAGAAGAAATGGGAATAAAGGAAAATACATACATACATACATACATACATACATACATACATACATACATACATGGAGCCTCTCACAAACCAGCGATGAGTGTTAACATGCCATGACTTGTGGAGAGTAATTAACTCAACTCTCTACATCTAAGATTAGAAAAAAGATTAAAAAACAATTTTTGTTTTGAAACCACTCTGTGATGATGAATAATGAGGTATTATGTCCCATGACAACAGGCTCATAAAAGATTCTCGAGTAGCTCTCCAAGAGGGGCATTCAAGAGCTTAGTCTAGTTATGAGGAGAGAAAGAAAGAAAATTCCCTGGAAAGCTGTTAACTATGGATCTAAGCTCCTCCCATCCTTACAGTGACTGGACAAGATTGAAAAGAGACTATATTTGCTTTGCAAGAATTTCACCCTTTTGCCTTCTCATAAATTGCTTTTCTAGGTCTCCTATGCTTCTTTCTGAATATCTCTAAATTATTTCACATTCAGTTGTTATTGACTGATGTAGACCTCTTTGTCAGAATGAAATGAACCTCCAATACAGTTGTGTTTAATAGAGACACACAACAGAAACACTCAGGGAGATTTTATCAAAATCCATTATGTCCCAGCTCCACCTCTGTAGACTCTGATTCAGTAAATTTGCATTTATGTAGTGGTAGAATGGAAAAGAAAGAAGTAAAGAGTTTCTTAGAATGCTAAGAAACACATGTTCAGCTGGTCCTGAGCATTTATCCAAGGATATCTTTCCACTTCCTAGTCCTACAACATCAGTTCTAAAGACTTCTAAGCCATCTGCCTAAAGGGAACAGGAGACCGGTACTATTCCCAATTGTCCCACTCACCTGCTTCTCAGCGTAACCAACGCCCCAGCATCATGTGGAAGAAAGTGTCAGCTCTGTCAGTCATTTGATAGTTAAGAAATCACTTGTCTATCTGGGCATCAAATTCTTCTTCTGTAAAAGGAGGAGAATAAACTGGACGACCTCCAAAAATTCGTCCCTGTTCTAAAATTCCATAAGTCTATATGGCTTCATTTTTGTCTGTTGTTTATTTGCTTTTCTTATAGGGGGAAATTATAATGTCTAACTTAATTTTTCAGCAAAATTTTATTGCCTTGGGAAAATGATCTGCTCTGATCCTTCTGATCTATAGCTCATCCTTCACAGAGAAACCAACAAGTGCTGCTGTCAGTTTCAGGTTTGCATAGAGAATATTCCCTCTCATCTCACTTGGTGATTGAGTGGGAGGCAGTAGGCAGTATTTCAAAATGCAAACTGACATTTAATTATACAAAAATCTCCTTCCACAATCACTTCTCTTGCCAGGCTGATTCTGATCTACTTGAACATTTTTCCTTTTTTGTTGACTCCTAGTTTTCCAGTTCTTATTGAGAATAATCGGAAATGGGACTCCAACACTAGATTTATAGACTTGCTACTTCTTCCTCTATGTAACAGAATTTTAAGGTGACATTGTATTTGCAAAATGATGTCTCTTTCTGATACTCACCTGAACCCCTCATATCCACACTGACATTCTCAAAATCTGGGTATTGCCCATTACAGTAATATTTTAAAAATGGAATATTTGTACAAATGTCACTTAAAAGCTTAAGTGGAGATTCTGGCAAAAAAAAAGAAAAAAAGGATGGAAATGGACCATTTTGTCCTAGCTAATTAAACACTGAAATGATTCAGCATGGAGATAAGTCAGCCAGGACTACAGCGAGGCAAGTGAGGCACTTGTCTCAGGTATGGAATTTAAGGGGACACCAAAAATCTCAATAATTAAGATAAACAATGTATTAATGCAATATTTTAGATCAGTAACAGTGCCATGGGAAGCCACAGTGGAGCCTCACACAAAAGGAAAAAATTTTTAAATGATCTTATCTTTATTTAAAATTTTAACATTTTGCTCAAGTGGATTTAATTGAATTTGATATTTTTTGAAATATTAAAATAAAATATTTATATTGATTACTAAATTGGGGGCATCCCTTTAAAGCTTTAAAGTTTGCACCCAAGGCAAGTTCTTTCTTCACTTCACGTAAGTCCTAGCTCTGGCATAACTTTCCTTCTGTTATAAGCCACAGGAAAATGTCAATGCATCTTGTTCTTCACAAACAGGGACTCCTACAATAACTCTAATGATTTCTATTACAGCTACCATTTGTGTGTGTGCATTTTCTAAGTGATTGATACCATTTTAATAATTTATTCTAAGCAGTGACTGGAGAAGTAGGCAATTTTCTTTTTACATCAAAGAAAAATGAAACTCTGAAAGGTGAAAATAACCTGACAAGGGGCATACCTCATGTACATTTTACTGGTAAATGAGATCAAGGGGGAAAGAGAGAGAAGGAGAGAGAGAGAGAAGGAGAGGGAAGGAAAGGGGAAGAAAAGAGGAAGATGAATACACATCCCAGAGATTTTCAAAATGAAAGTATATGGACTCATCTGGTAAATTTGTTTAAAATGCAGATTCTCAGGCTGACCCATACACACTGAATTAAATAAGACCTGGGGTAACTCTGAGAATCTGCATTTTAAGTGATTCTGATGCAAGTGTTCTAGGGACCACACACAGAGAAACATTGAGGAGATGCACCCAATGTGGCAGAAACTGGGTTATATTACCTGAAACACATTTTCTCATAATCCCCCCCTTAAAAACCTTCAAGGTAAGAATTAATGCCCCTTTCTTTACATATGAGGAGAAAAATCCAAGATGATAGGAAAATTATAAACTCACATGTTGAGTGAGTAGAAAAACCAAATTCAACCCAGATCTTTCTCCAAATTCAAGCACTTCCACTGTACTCTGGGACTTCCATGGAAAAGGCAAGAGATGCATCTGTCAGGTGAGTGCTCTCATGTACCAGGGACACCAGATTATATCAAGGACTCTAAGTGAGCTAAAGTGTGATGGTCAACAGGTGCAACGGCAGGCAGCTAGGACAGATGTCAGAGGTATGCACAGATGAAAAGAAAGGGTAACAGATGTTAGAGTAGAGGTGAGGCAGAACAATTCAGGAGGTAGAAAGTAAGTAATGTTTTGCACATACAATGGTTTTACCTTGCAGTTTAAAATTCAAAATGAGAACTACGATTATGTCAATGTTAGCTATTATATGAGCAAATGACATATTTATAGATATGGCAATAATATAGTCTGATGAGAGAAGAACAAAATCTTGGATTGAGCCTGTTTTCTAGTTTAAGACTACATCGCTGGATTTATCCCCATTCTGCCTTTCTGTGCCTTCTGTCTCTAATCCTGAACTCAAGCTGTTCTTACTGGGCCAGCCTAACATTTGTATATTTTTAAGCCAGAACCTACTTGAAATCCATTTCCCCCGGGGACATTGTTCTGGTTAACTCCATATCATTCCAATATTTGACACCTTACCATTATGTCCACTCAATCTTCACTTGTGTTTACACTTTTGTGTATAGTATACTTATTTTTTTATATACCCTGTACTGTCTGGCTTAATAATTTATCTAGATCATGGCTAGATTTGTAAACCGATTTCCAATTTCTGAAGGTGTCTGAATACTCTAAAATTTAATTACTGAAATTCTGTCACCTGAAAAATCCTATATACCATGAAAAAGGTCAATGAGTACTTACTGAAGAAACTAAAAATAAAAGTTACAATTTTGTAAGGCAATAGCTCTGCAATGTTATCACTCACTTGTCACGGAAGTGAGTTTTCTCCCCCCAAAGAATACATTTATAGACTTCTAATATTTAATAACCTTTAGACTCTTGCTATTTTTCTAGATATGGTTGGGAGTAGGGGTGGAAGAGAGAAGTGTAAGATATAGTCTCGAGAAACTTAAAATCTTATTGAGGAAATAAAAACCAATGTCCATAATTTTAGGCCGAGTTGCACTTAACCTACAATCAGAATAGAGGAAGGAGGGTTCAACAGGACCTCAAGAGTCATCTCAGATGGGATGGGAACACTTGTGGGCAGAATCTGATTGGGTGGAGAGGGGAAGAAATTGGGCCTAAAACAGAGAGAGAGGTGAGAACTGGGGGGTCAGTGCAGGGGTGTCATCAGCCCAAACAGGTCATGGTCATAACAGGTATGTAATGGGGAGACTGTGTGGAGGGAAGTTTAAAAAGAAAATAAGTGAGAGAATAAGGAATAAGAGAGAATAGTTCTAAATCTCACACCAAAGGAGAGATGGATATAGTGATAATAATGGAATAGACTACTGAGGACAACTGAAAAATGTTTTCTAGAGAGAAGAGACTTTGAAGATACAACACAGAGAGGCGGCAATGAAGGGAGAGAAGGGTTACAGTGGTAGTGAGTCCCCAGAAGAAGGATTTAGGGATAGGGTGTAGAATATAGTGGCCAGGAAAACTTCAGGTGGGGGGGGCAGAAAACGCCTCAGAAGGGAGATATGGATCAGAAAACTGCTGGGGAAAGTGAGAGGCAAGGAGGCAGCCCACCCCAGTTGGTTTCCATCATGTTCATCATGTGGGAGGTGAGATCAGCTCCTAAAGGCAAAAGGGAAGTGGGGGTAGATGAGAATGTCTGGTTAACTGTGGAGGTGAGTTTTACAGGGTATCCGTGCCATCTTCGTCATCCATGGTGACACTATGCTGGGTGTTAAATCTTATATAAATTATTCTTATAGAGTGAGATTCTACATTTTATATAAAGAGATAGCTACAGCTTCTCCCTCAAGATCATAAAGTATAAATAATATAAAGTCTAGATATATTTCAAGATCCAGAAGCAAATCCCAGTTTTCATTCTTTTACAGTTTTGTATATTCCACTAGGCAGTCAACTTTTTTTTTTAAGTTGCTAATTTGGGTTGTTATTACACAATGTTTGAAATGTAAGAACAGTGGTGTTAATGACTTGGGTTGGAATAGCTTAATAAGTGACATGAAAACTTTGTAAATCATTAATATCAGAGAGCTAACATTAACTTCTCGATAAAAGTAACTCTATTTTAAAGTATGAAGTAATCCCTAATTTAATTGAGAATTTCTATGACTTTCCATATATCAGGAAGATGTCTAGCAACTACATAGTAAGAAGCATCTCTGGGCATATTAAGTTTTAGATTTAAACCAAAAAACAAGACTGCAATAGAGCATGCTATTTATTTCTCTCTTTCCTCCCGGAGACAGAAACTATGAAGAGTCTAACCAGTTATTCTTGCTGGGGATATAGGGCAATCCATCTATGGAAAAGCAGAGAAGCAACTAACTTTAAGTTTTAAGGACATATACTCATGCCAATCTTGGGGAAATTTGTAACCAAGAACTAATAATCATTGGCTAACTAGGAATTGACATTTCTAGTATTTTTTTTTTTACCTTCCTTAAAGGATTGATTTATTATGTTTTATACATATTATTAACTTCAGGAACAGTGTCCAAATTGCCTCCATTTCAATGAAGTGGGAGATAAAAGATGCCTGGTTCAATCAAGGCTTCCCAAATCCCCACAGTTGTGTGTGTTGGAGGTCAGTCAGCGAACTGCCGGAAACACAAAAACATAGTATAGTCCCCCTCCTGGGCTGCTACTTTACTAAGAAAACTTCAGTTATCACAGATTATAATTGCTTCAAGAAATGGAGAGGGTCATTTTACAAATAATTTTACTGACTTGACGTTCTTCATTTACTTGTCTAGAGATTACTTATGCAAAGTGTTCTCACAGTCCACAGATGACTGGAGCATTCACCTTTTAGAAGATTTTGTAAAATCCCCTGGATCCTGGATGAGGGAGTTCTCCTCCTGGGGGAACATCAGAGTTTGATCCAAGGGTTGTTTTCATTTCTTCATACTGAAAGCACCGTTTCTTATTTGCCATGGATTTCCCCCCTCCTTTGTGTCTTCGCATGATAAGAAAAGCATCTCACTCTAGGATGTACCATCCTCCCTCTTCCTGCCAGCAGTGCGCCATGCAAATACAC